TGCTCCAACCTGGCCTTGGACACTTCTAGGGATCCAGGGGCAGTCACAGCTTCTCTGCCCAACCTGGGCCGGGGTTCCACAGGAAAACATTCTGTAGGGTTTCCGTGGCAGCCTCAAGATGGGGGGGCTTTGTGGGAGATGGATTCTCCCAAAGTCTGGGGCCTTTACAAGCTCTTCCTGAGGTGGTTGTGGTGAAAAGCACCTCCAGCCCAGCGCTTCCTCAGGGGCTGGAGGCAGCAAACACCGGCGGGTGCTCCTGGAGCCCCCACGAGCTGCAGGATAACGGGGGGTCAGGGTGACCCCCTCACCTGGTGATGAGGAAGACACACCCTGAGGGTGTCCCCTCCTGTCCAGGGGGACGGGGGTGGCTCACAGGGCCTGTGAGTGGGCCCCACCTGGGGAAGGTGTCTGCACTCCCCGCAGTCAGCGGCAGGAAACAGCTCTGGGAAGTGCAATTTGTCTCCTCCCGAGCGAGACATTTCAAGTGAGGCTGATGAATCACACTCTGAAATAGCCTGTTCCTCTCCTGAGGAACTGGCTCGCAAATAGAAAGGCTTTTAGCTGGGCCTTTCACCCAGCTTGGCTGTCAGTGGTGGCTCCTGCTGGGGTTTGTTTGGCTTTGGGGTCTACCTGAAGCCAAACAGACTTGGTGTCCCTCTACCTGGTGTTCCCCTCTGGAAGGTGATGAAATGGGCAGCCCTCAGTCCAGGTGGGTGTTGACCAGTGTTATGGGTCCTCTCTGTGATCCAGGCAATGGTTCCCTCGTGAATCCTCGTGCTTTCCCAGCATAAAAGCAGAATCCCACGAGGTTTAAGGAGAGCGAGTTTAAGGTGCTGCACCTGGGCTGAGGAAACCCCTGGGATCAGCACAGGCTGGGGATGGACACATGGAGAGCAGCCCTGGGAGAAGGATTTGGGATGGTGGTGGGTGAGAGGCTGGATAACCCCCCGTGCCCTGGGCTGATCCCACAGGGATCGTGGGCAGCAGGGCAGGGGTGGATCCTGCCCCTCTGCCCCCTCAGGGGAGACTCCCCTGCAGAGCAGCCCCAGCCCTGGGAACAGCAGCACAAGGACGTGGAGCTGCTGGAGAGAGTCCAGAGGAGGCCCCGGAGCTGCTCCCAGGGCTGGATCCCTCTGCTCTGGAGCCAGGCTGGGACAGCTGGGGGGGATCACCTGGAGAAGAGAAGGATCCAGGGAGACCTGAGAGCCCCTTGCAGGGCCTAAAGGGGCTCCAGGAGAGCTGGAGAGGGACTGGGGACAAGGGATGGAGGGACAGGACACAGGGAATGGCTTCCCAGTGCCAGAGGGCAGGGATAGGTGGGATATTGGGAAGGAATTGCTGGCTGGGAGGGTGGGGAGGGGCTGGACTGGATTTCCCAGAGAAGCTGTGGGTGCCCCTGGATCCCTGGAAGTGTCCAAGGCCAGGTTGGACGGGGCTTGGAGCAACCTGGGCCACAGTGGGAGGTGTCCCTGCCCACAACAGGGGTGGGCTTTGAGGTCCTTTCCCCCCCAGGCCATTCCAGGACTCCAGGATTCAGTGTGGCCAGAGCATCGTTTCCCCAAGGGAACAGCCCGACACCCCGAGGCCACCTCATTTAAACGGCAACTTCAGCTCTTTAATCTTTTATGGGCGAAGTTAATTAACAGCTGAACATCCCAGCCCGTGGATGCCTCTTGCATGAGGATCATTGTTTCTCCTGGAGCATTCCCTGCTGGCGGGGCTGGCGCTGTGGCAGCTCCTCCCGAGGCGCTGCCGTGGGGCCCTGCTGGCACCACGCACGGCGCGCTGGATGAGCTCAGCCCTCAGCTTGGGGAGGCCCCGTGCCAGCAGCAATCTCGGTGCCTGACAGGAACAGCTTGCTTCCAACCCCTGCCACATGTTTGTGGGTTAAATACGGGGCCCCGAGTCTGACACCTGGGAGAGGCCCCGGGAGCCTCCTCCCCGCACGCGGCCCCGTGGGCATCCCGGGGCTGTCCCACGGCTGGCAGGGGCACAGGAGTCGCCCTGGAGGGGCTTGGTTGAGGGTTAGTGCTGATGCACGGGGCTCTGCTCCGTGCTGAAGGCTCCTGTCAGAGCATTCCTGTCCGTGGGAGGTGTGGAGGGTGTCCCTGCAGGTGCTGAGGAGTTCATGAGGACAGGCTGGGGCCACTGAGATGCTCTGAGGGTTGGAGCCCCTCTGCTCTGGAGCCGGGCTGGGACAGCTGGGGGGGATCACCTGGAGAAGGGAAGGGTCCAGGGAGACCTGAGAGCCCCTTGCAGGGCCTAAAGGGGCTCCAGGAGAGCTGGAGAGGGACTGGGGACAAGGGATGGAGGGACAGGACACAGGGAATGGCTTCCCAGTGCCAGAGGGCATGGAGAGATGGAATAGTAGGAAAGAACTCTGGCTGTGAGGGTGGGGAGGCCCTGGAATGAATTTCCCAGAGCATCTGTGGCTGCCCCTGGATCCCTGGAAGTGTCCAAGGCCAGGTTGGACGGAGTTTGGAGCAACCTGGGCTAGTGGGAGGTGTCCCTGCAGGGGGTGGCACTGGATGGGCTTTAAGTTCCTTCCCACCTGAACCATCCTGTGATTTTAATTGGGTGGTTAATTTTTAATTGTAAGAATAGTCACGGTTTATGAGGAGCTCACGAATTGCTTTGGGCTTTGGAGAGATCCCAGCGCTCCACGTGAGCTCCCCCATTCCAGGGAAGCTGTGGAGTCAGCACCCCTGGAAGTGATCCAAAGCCATGTGGATGTGGCTCTTGAGGACAGGGGTTAGTGGTGAGCGTGGTGGTGCCGGTTTTGGGGTGGGACTTGATGTTCTTAAAGGTCTCAACAACCCTGTGATTCCACGAAGGACAAGGGGGACCTTCTCTGCCAGCCTCGGTGCTCATGGGGGCCAGGAGGGGTGTCCTGGAGCAGCTTTGGGCAGCATAACAGTCGTAAGGGAGAGATTCTTGGGATTGTCGTGGATCCACACGGCACGTTCCTGGATGAAGGCTTTGGAATGTGAGCTGTGGTGGATATTCTGGTGCCCAGCCTGTTCCCACCTGCCCGGGGCAGGAGTTGGGACTGGACTTGGAGCAGCTGGGATTTCCTCCTGGCCCCACCCAGAGCTCTGGACGAGGCCAGGAGGCCCCTTGGGGAGTGTCCTTGAGCTCGTGCTCGGCTCCCTCTGCCCCCCAACTCCCGGATTTGCTGCTGGGCTTTTGGGCCCTTGTCCGGCTCAAACTGTTGATCATCATAATTTGGAGCCCAGGGGTTGGTGTTATTTGCCACGAGCAGTGAGCACCTCTGTGTGGGACATGCTCCTCAACACCTCAGTGGCTCTTGGAAACTCGAGAGATCCCCAAATTCACCGTTTTTTTATCGGGTGTACCCGCAAGAGCTGATTGATGCTGCCCTTTACAACGGACCGGTTTACCCGCCCGAAGCGGTTGTGGCCTCTGACTCGGCACTAAAATAGTTCATTTAGTCGAGTTCAATTCACTCCCAAAGCTGTAATTACGCTCAAAGAAATGATATCCACTTTAATTCTGCACAAGAGCATCCACTTACAAATACAATTTTCCAGGCTGAGGTTTTTCGGTTCAGATCGCTGGGATAAATTAATCCTTTCAGCACGTCAGAGCCTCGACATTCTGGATCAGGGGCAGGTGAAGGGGATGCACCTGGTGGTCCCACCTTGGTGGTCCGTGCAGACCTTTCACCAAGGTGTTTATTGAGACACTTCTGGACATAGAAACAGTAAATCTATTTGAAAAGTCCCTGTAGTTTTAAGAAATAGATAAATTTCCCCCCTCTTTCTTTTTGAAGTTTAATTTCAAGGTTTGCTTTCGATGTTTCTGTGTTTCCTCCTGTGTATGCAGTCCCAGGGTTTGGTTCCTTGAGCCTTGTCCTCTGGGAAAGGGTCTCCTCGTGCTCCCCCTTCCTCTCAGGGATCTCTGTTGGCTGAGCATCCCTTGGGAGACCAAATTATGGGACATCCCTAGAAATGCACAAGAACAAGGTGGTACCACCATTCTCCTCGGTGTAGTGGGGTTTGGGGGGCTCTTTGCTGATAGTTTATGGGATTATCCTGGGAATACAAAGTGGATTTGCCCTCACCTCGGCTGCAGAAGGGCCTGGTGACGCGGCAGGGACGTGTCTTCCCACCAGACCCAACAGCAAAGGAATGAGGGGCTACAATGTGTTTTGTGGGTGACCTCTAAATGTGACCAGCTGGAATCTGGGGGGTGCCAGCGAGTACATGGTCTGTCTTTGCTTGGGAACTGCTTAAATTAGGAAGACATTCCAGTGAAACACACTTAGGTGTGCGCTTGAGCTGGCAGCTGGCCCTATTTACCGTCCAAAATTAGAAAATGCTTCATTAATTCAAGTCAGCATCTTCTGTGTGCCTCAGCTTGACCTTAGTTGTGTCCCAGTTTTTGACTATGGGGCCAGCACAGCCCTGTTATTAAAGGGGAAAGCTCTAAAGCCAGACTTTGGTTGGCGTGGGATTGATGTTCACCGGGATAACGGAGCCTCCCGGGCCGGGAGAGCTGCTGCCCGTGGGATGGACTTCTCAGGCTGGAGAAGTTCATGGAGAGCTGTCTCCACACTGGAGCAGGGGAAGGACTCTGACCTGCTCTGGGGTCTTGTGTTGACTTTGCAAGGGCTGTTCCTGGTCTGACTCGGGTGCCCAGCCTGATCTGGGGCCTCGTGTTGAGTTTGCAGGGGCTGCCAAACCTCGGTCTTCTCTCGAGTTCCCCTCACAGTCCAAGCTCCAGGAATCCACGTAGGAATGTTTGGCGCTCGTTGGTGGTCCCAGATGGCACCAGTCCCATTCCTCTGGCTGAGCTTTGGTTGGCACAGTTTTGCCACGGTGGGAATTTTTGTCAGGACGCGTCTCCCACCGGATCCCGCCTCTGCCAGGCCCGGAACTGGCACCATCCTGTCGCTCCATCCTGTGCTTATCTCACCCAAAGCCCTTCTGCGGCCTCGACAGTGCTGGAGTTGTGCTTTCTGAGCCCTCCCAGGGCTGCCAGCGTTCCTGTCCGTGGTGCAGACGTATCCAAGGAATAAGCTGGAGGCAGCTCCCGTGTCTCATTTGCCTGTTGTTCTGTTTTCTCTGCTTTGCTGTGCCCACATTCCGTGTTTTTTTTTTCTCTCCCGTTTCCGTTCATGCCTCGCAGTAGAAGAGCAGCTTCGTGAAGTAGGTAACTATGATTTTTTTTTACTTCTTTTTTTTTTTTTTCCTCTCCTCCTCCTCGCTTTGTCCTTTTCCACCTTTCTCTCCTTGCTTTGTCCTCTGTGCGTGGGGAGTCCGCAAGGGCCTTTGGAGACCAGTCTTTCCTCCTCTTCCCTCGAATCCTTCCTGATCCCTGGATGGGGTTGGGGGGGCAGACTGCGAGGAGGGACCTTCCTCTCCCACCCTGCTGGTTTTCCCAGAGATCCTGCAGTTCCTCTGCTCTTTTATGTCTCATGACATTCCCAGGAAGACCAAGTGAGGAGATGAACATTCCTCCCAAGAAGATACTGCCATGGTGTCTGGTGGGAGCTGTGGGTAAGGAATTTGGAGGGAGCTGTGGATGAGGAATGTGGTGGGAACTGTTCCCTCCTCTTGCTGCTGAGGGTGGGGCAGGATGGGGGGGCAGAGGCAGCTCCAGACCCCGTTGTTACCCTGGATGCTCCTGAAGGCGATGGGGGGCGGGGTCACACCTGGCTCAGGTGCTCTTGCTGGGGGTTATTTGGATTTCTAATGCCAGGGTTGGAGTCCTGGAGTGCCCAGGTTGGAGCTTAGCCAGGAGGGACATTTGTTTGGGATCCAGCCCCAGGCTGGAGATCAGTGCCCTGATCTGTGGGGGGGGATGGGGAGCGTCAGGTGGGGCACAAATGTCAGTGGAGTGGGCAATTCCAGGGGCACTGTCAGTGTGAACAGGCTCAGAGAGGGATCTGCAGACTCGGAAAAGTGACACCAAGTGCGACATTTCGGGGTTTTTTTAGGCTAAACTGTTCCCCAGTGGGCCTGGGTTTGTGTGCTGGTGGTAGGAAGCACCTTGTAGAGACCTTTTCTGCCAAGTTTGGGTCCGTCTGGAATGCCCAAGTGGCACGTTCAGATTATGTGTGAGAGAGTTTTAGTTTGTTTTAGACCCTGTGGAAATGTTTCCTCGCAGCTGTAACTCTGAACTGCAGCTGGGCTCCAGTTCAGTCCCAGGCTCAACTGGAATTTTGTTGACTGAGGCAAATCCTTGGTATAGGAACAGTCAGAGCAAATGGTTCGCTTCAGGCACATTAAATATTGCTGGAAATGGAATGTTTCGGTGAAGAAATGTGAGACATAGCGCGCTGGCAGCTCCAGCAGGATGAGTTATCCCGGGGTAAAGCTCTGCCAGCGTTTCCCTGGAACGCTCCTGGATTTACAAGTGCTGATCGTGCTCGGGAGCCTTTGCTGGGGCTCTGCTGACTCACGAGGAGGAATTGGTGCAGGGGGTTGTGTGCCTGGTGTGGAGGTGGAACCCCAGTCCTGTGGGGAGAACCCCATCCTGCTGGAAGAGATCCCACTCCAGGGAAAGGGCTGAACCCCTCAGACCAGAGCCTGGAGCAAAAACAGAGTGGGCAAAGGCCCAGGGCAGGGATTGTCCCCGTGCTGGGACCTGGGGAGGCCCCCCTGGCTGCCCAGGGAGGTTTGGAGTGCCCAGGCCTGGAGGTGTCCCAGGCAGGCCTGGCCGTGGCACTCAGTGCTCTGGGCTGGGGACAAGGTGGGGATGGGGCACAGGGGGGATCCATGGGCTGGGAGGGCTTTTCCAGCCTCAGGGATTCTGGGATGCTGTCAGTATTAATTCCTGGATCCAGTGCCTTTCAGCAGCCTTTGACAATTAAGGCATGAAGCACCTCCTCTGCCCTAGTACTGCCTGTTTGCTCCTCATCCTTTGTCGTCCTTGAGCTACTTCAGAACCACTCCTTTAAGAACTTTTATAGAAATTGAATATTTTCCTCTTCCTCCCCTGCAATTTTCTTTGCCTTTCCCTTCCCTGCCTCCTGTTTTGCCGGGGATGCTGCTCTGGGAGCCTGACTGCGAAGGATTTGTCGCTTCTTCCTC